TATATTTTTTTTATTAATTTAATTGAATTTTACGGTACAGTAAGAATGTGTTGTTTTACACAAAGTGGGCAGTATTTCAGCCATATGTCTGTGGAAAAAAAGATGTGAGAGGAGGAACCTGGCGATCATGTTCGTGGGATGTTTTGAGCAAGGGTTCCCCTAATTTGATCATTTTTTTTTTCAATTTAGATAAAAAGAAAGGAATGTTTTGCGTAACGATGTTTTAAACCAACGATGTTTAAAAACCGTTCAAAGGAAGTCGAAATCTGCTTGGCATTCTTCGGTATCTTCATTTTTCATCAGAAATAGATAATGAAAATATTTTACTATCATGCGTGCCTGCTTCGTATTTTCCAAAAAAAGATTTGTATTTCAACAGAACTTGGTACAGTGCCATGACTCAAAAGCATAAGGGAATTTCGCAAACAAAGATAAGTGGAGGGAACTCTAACGGGAATCATCCATTTCATTAAAAATCGAGTATTCAAGCTCAAAGGTCCATTTAAACAATACAAATCAGGAGCAGAGCAAACACGGACCTCTTACACATTAGAGGTGGGATCAGGTGCCATGGAGGAGTGATCATTCCCTGCCAACCGGTCATACCTGCCGTGTGCTCCTTGTCATGATCGGCAAAAACGGAAAAATCCATAGACAATTACAATTAATATGAAAAACGGAGTCAGCATTTGACATAATGATAGATTGTATTTGCCGACAAGATCATGTTTCGACCATAGAACTTGCGATATGATGACTTTTAACGAGCCTGTTGATATTCTTGTTTCATGGACTTTTCAATAGCTTGCCTCGTTTTAGATATTGTTTGCACGTAGAGCATGCTCTTTACGTATCGAATCAACTGAGAGACATAAACCCCATATGCAGATGATATGGGTATATTGCTACATAAGTAAGGAAAGTTGCGAATGAAAAGTTTAAGTTATCACGTTTATCATAAACTTGGTTGCTAGGTTACCATAAAGGTCTTCTCTAGTAAAATATCCCAATATGAAACCAATGTCTCAGACTCTGTGGTATTTTTTATTTAAGGCTCTGGGATATATGAACGACATATGACTGGAAGTAAGTAATGGATATATGCCGAATACTGTTCTATATGTAAAATTATCAGACTGTTTGAGGCCCGTTAGGGCCAAAAACAGTCTGATAATTTTACATATAGAATTGTATGAGGCATATATCTTACTTAAAACATTGCTATTTAAATGTCCAAAAGTTACCTGGAGGAGTCCGATAATTACACAATAGGAGTTCAGGCATCAATAGTTTTCTACCCGAAACCATCTAATAAGTAGACAAAAGAAAAAAGAAAGTTTTTTTCCCCTTTAGACAGTAAAATTAGTGAGTGAACTCTTTTGTTTCGTTCATTCAATGGCAGTCGTTTGGCTTAGCAGGAACTATGGACAGTGGTCAGGTGATGAAGGATTTTTATGATTCGGAATATTTTTTTTATTAAGTGCGTTTGACATTGGTACAGATACAGTGTTGGATGATATCTTCAAAATGCATTTAAAGTAAAAATGCGGATTTTTATCTAAAATTTTGATTGGATGATATAATGAAAATCTTGGGTTTTAAAAGTGCAGTCATTGGCGAACAAACCTCGTTAAATGAAGAGACTCGCAGACTGGTTCTTTATTAGAAATGGATTTAAATTGGCTTATTCACAGTGCAGTATCGAAAACGCTTTGGAAAAAAAAGAAAGAAAAAAAAAAAGAAAAAAAAAAAGGAATGGAAAGTGTTACTTTTGAGGAAGGTTTAAATTCCAGTTTCTTCTTGGATTTGCTATTTTTAACAATTTAATTTCCTAGCGTTCGCTTTCCCTGAATTTTTTCTCCCTAATTTTTTTTCTTTGGTTTCTGAACATATTAAACCTTGATTTCACTCAAGTTGTTGTTGTTTTTTTAACTACTGTCCGATTTTGTTATCACTGCCGTCCGATAATATATTATTGGACTGCAAATTATTATTATCGGACGGCGACAGGTAAATTTTTAGACAGCAAGAAGAAAGGCATGAAGTCACAGCAATGTTTTAGCTATTGTTAATTGATAATACGTTGTCAATATATCTAAATGTCGTGTTGAAGGCCACAGTAAGTGTTTTCTATATACTTTAAGATTAAATGAATTGTTTTTTCTCTACAAAGAAGTTTGAACATGTACTTTATAGAGTTCTCGAAATGTTCTTTATCGTTTTGGAAGCAAAAAGTTTTTAATTCAGCAAAACCATTCGTATAAAAAAGATAAAAAAAAATATCCTTGAAAAATCAATGAAAAATGTGAGATCTCATTAATCATAAATAGGCAGAGCTTAATAATAGATAAATATCTATATCACAGAAGTTAGGGAAAACAAAACAGTTGATTATTCTATTAGAACCTTCCGACAATAAACTTTGTTCGCTCTTTCATTTTTTCAAAACCATTGCAATGGGATCTGCAACAGTTCCTAATGTGATCAGTTTGTACCTCATTGGACAAGTCCTGTTTCTGTTACGGACATGCTACTCTCAGTGCTTCGACGCAAAAATTTTGATCATTAGCAATTATGGAAATTCCTCAGTGCCTGGTTTTAACCTTTTAACCAATGCTAACATGGGAATGTGCATGATGGTTTGTTACAAGTTTACATTATGTCGGTCAGTAGATTGGATACGAGAAGAAAAGAAATGCCATCTTAACACAAGATTTGACATCAAAAATGTCAGTCGTCTAATGTTCGAAGACCGAATCATTCGTGTTTACCGGGAAAATTTCCCAAAGGTTAGAAAAATCATGAAACATTTAAGTAAGAATTGAAAGATATTTTAACAATTCACGACTTGAGTTGATTTATTTTCAGCATCTTTTGGGTGATTGTTTAAATCATTCATGTACCGAGGATGCCATCTGTATTAGTGGTAACTGTGTACCTGTTTTAAAAGGTAACAAATTTCTGCAGGTGATAATTTTTAAAAAAATATATTTTAAGTTAATTTTAAAATTTAATATGCTTGATTTCACTTTTTGTTGAAGTTCACATTCCTTTCACGATTATTTCCCTGTTCTGCAAGCTTCGGATGTGTTATGTTTATTTCATGTATGTTTTATGCTTCATGGATATAGTGTGAAATCCTAAATTTCGGGAGGGGTTAATTTTGAAGTTAACTTGAAGTTACCAGAGAATTCATGTCCTCTATGAAAGGTAACGAATCACATTCCCACGAAAAGATATTTTGTTCTCAAACCACAAAAATCTGATCCCACAGAAAAGTAATTTTAAATAATTTTCGTTCTCACTCAATTTCTTCTGTTATTTGCTTTAGAAAGAAGATAGAATGTCTTCAAATTACTCTTGCTTTGTTGTAAATTTTGGTTCTTGTAAATTTACTAATTAATTGAATAATTAATTGAATAAGAAGTAATAAGAAGTAATTGGGAATATAAGCATTGATATCAGTCAATGTATGCATAATTATTTTGATCGCCAATGTTACGCGCAATTGCTTTGACATCATAGGTGTCAATCTTGGTCAAGCGAAGTAATTACAGAAAAATCACTAATTTTCGTGGGGTTTAATTTTCGTTGTTTTTGAGGTATGAAGAGATCAACGTAATCATGTCCTCAACGAAATGTAAAATTCCATATAAAAGTACGCAACATTTCTTCATCCACGAAATCAGATCCCCCAAAAACCATTTTTTTCCTCAAACCTCGAAAATTTGACCCCACGAAAATATGTGTTTTATTAGTATTGTGTTTACAAAACGGCTCATTTGTTGCGTCTATTAAACCTGTTAGATAATAAATAAATGATGATTGGATTATTGACAGCTAGTAAGGTATAATTTGCGGAGTTTGAATGCACATATATTTACAGGAAATGATTTAGGAAGATTTTATCACATTTCCTAGACTTGGTTGGGAGGTGAAAGGGGGCCCTTTTTTGCAAATGCGAGGTTTTTTCCCCATTCAGAACGATCGTTTATGCCTGACCACGATTTGTTTTTGTACTAATAAAATATTTTAAGGAAATGGTGCTTTTTAAAACAAAACCAAAAAAATAAATAAATAAATAAATAAATAAATAAAAAATAACCATGCAACATGCATTTTTTTTTAAAAAAGAAAAGACGCACGGACTCTTACTGTAGGAATGTTCTGAAATTCGTAATGGCGTACAGTGGCATTGAAAAGTGTCATCTCTAGGACATGATATTCACTGCTGTAATAGCTAGAAGATATACAGGATTTATTGATATATAATTTATAAATAAAGCGAATGAAGGAGAATTTGACCACAAATATTTATAAACATTTACGTAATCAAACTGTAGTAATTCGTTCTATTTATTTGAAGTCCCAAATTGTCAACGCTTCGTCTTCGCTGTCCTCTCTACTTGTCAGCAAAATTTCTTGGTTATTTATCTCTGCTAGGCATTCATACATAAAAAATTGAACGTCCACTACCAAAAAAATCGTCATGTCAAAATTTGCCACAACCATATTGTGTAGTATATTTATTTAACGTCATAATCTATTCGATATATTTTTTCTTACGATAAGCTTTACGAGTTCTAATTGACCATTGACACTGTGACCTTTCAGTACAACTTGTCCCCTATCTAATGTGGAGATTTTTACTTCGAGGACCCTATATCATGAGCGTTTTATTGCTTAATCACAACCGTTTTCAAAATTATTTAATAATAAAATGGTAATTATATGTTTCAAGAATATATTCAATCATGATAATTGTGCTTCATTTTAAAGAAATTTAGATGACATGATAAAAACCTTTTAACTTTTAAGTGGATGATGTGATGCTCGAATGATACGTTAGGCAGAGAGATAAATAATTTGACTTATTTAAACATTAAACAGAAAAAATATACAAGGATTGTTCAGCGATTTTGAAAAGAGCCTCTAGCAAAAGAGGCCAAGATGGCGTATATGTTATTTACGCCGACACCCGAAGAGAGGTCTTCTGTGACATGACGACAGATGAAGGAGGTTGGACGGTGAGTAGTGTTTAATTTTTGCATGAATACATTGTACTAATAAAATGCCCCTTTATTAGAAAGTTGTTTATCACTGTTGGAATTTTGTAGCAATAACTGTTGCAATAGTCATCATGGAACAACATTATCAAATTTTAATGAATGAACTCATAATGTTTGCTGATGGTGACATGAAACATTTCTGGTTACATCAGCACCTTAACTGGGGTCGCGATTGGTAGATAATCGCTACCGAAAAGCCCTTACTGTACCTGTAGACAAGGTAAATATGGTACCTAAAGAACACTTAGGGTGAAGCCTTTTAGTTTAATTCTAATGTGTAATTTGAAAGTTTTTTGGAACTTGTGTTTAATCCTTATCACACATTGTCATTAAGATACCGCATGTTCAACAAAAAACAAGAATACCAGACATATTTTCATGCCCCTTTAGATCATCGTGGATAATCTTTTAATCACATCTATGACAAGAAGCTTTATAAACAGACATGGTGTTGCTTATAGGTGATTCAGAAACGAGAAGATGGCGATGTCGATTTTTACAGGACGTGGAAAGATTATAAACATGGATTTGGGAATGCCTCTAAAAACTACTGGATACATGTAGGTATATGTTGCTCTTTTTTGGTAAAACGATTATGTTTTAATCAAAACAGAATGAATACAGGTATTAGACACAGAAAATGAAATACGTTCTGCAAATATTTCTTAACAATTGGTATGAAATATTTAAGACAAACTTCCACCTAATGTTTGTGCTTGCAAGCAAGTTTATAAGAAACAGATAATCTACAAAATGCCATCTTTTTAAACGAGACTATAAACTGCCTCTGTTCAAAAAAAAAAACAAACAAAAAAAAAAAAAAAAAAAAAAAAAAAAAAAAAAAAACAACAAAAAAACAACAACCATGGAACAAGCTCTTGCGTACTAAATCGATTTGGGGACATTGAGAGTGTATGCAGGTGCTTATGGACTATTGCTGCATCGATACTAGGAGTTTGAGGATAGGAAAATCATTCCGTTTGTCATTTAGTATGCAGTTAAATCTTATCTTCAGGAAACATCTAAATAAAAAACAGATGTGAAAGATTCTGTCTAGTATCTTTTACTCTGGGTTCATTGGAAATAAATATGAAATGTAGCCTTCTACTTCCTCTGAAGGCAAGAACAGATAAATTGTATTATCCATTAATCATCAGCTCTATTCTTTTATTCCTTTTTATCATTTCAGAATTGTATTTAAATCTGTTGTAATTTGGTAACCAAATATTAATAATTTTTAGTTTCAATGCTGTCCCTGGCCTCACCAAGTTTTTTCCAATCATAGTTTTACTAATCATAGCTTTACTATACTAATTTACCTTGAAAATATTCATTGAAAGATCCCTTTCCCATTTTTGTACATGTATTATATTGAAATTCGGTCACCTTAATGTAATCAGAATTTTTTCTGGGAAAAAATGTTAGGATTCCCCCAGTATATTTATATAAAACTTTCATTTTTTTTTACTAAGGGAACGATGCAGTCCGTGCTTTAACAAGGGATCAAAACCAAGAGCTTCGAGTATACCTAAAGAGATATAACGGAGAACAGGCTTATGCGAAATATACCACATTTTACATCGGAGATGAAAACAATAAATACACTATAACAGTATCTGGATACAGCGGGACGGCGAGTGAGTAGTGTAATCAAGATAATATTAGAATTTTCTAGCTTGGTTTGTCATATACCTTGGATAGTATTCAAGTTTAAAAGATATTAATTATAAATATTATATCCTTTAAATTATCTAGTAAAAAGAGACAGTAGGTACTTATACATTTCATTTGTAGAAATTTTCTCTGCAAAGATTGTTAACAATATTTGATATTTTGTTTCAAATGTTGCTTGTAGTTATGATTTCGCATTTTATTCAAAAGGGTCACTGTAACAATCTGTATACCCAAGCTCCATTGCCAGCACCTGGTGCACTGCCGCAAATACACTTACGTAGTTAAACTATTGTCCTGTTCACATGGAGAGTTTAATTTGCAGTAAATTAATGCGAAGTAAACTAATGCGAATAAAATTGCGTTCACACGACAACTGATGCGAAATTAACTAATGCGAATTAAATTTTATTTCTATAGTAGGGCTATTCAATCTTTATTTTCTGTATACCCAAGCTCCATTGCCAGCACCTGGTGCACTGCCGCAAATACACTTACGTAGTTAAACTATTGTCCTGTTCACATGGAGAGTTTAATTTGCAGTAAATTAATGCGAAGTAAACTAATGCGAATAAAATTGCGTTCACACGACAACTGATGCGAAATTAACTAATGCGAATTAAATTTTATTTCTATAGTAGGGCTATTCAATCTTTATTTTCTGTATACCCAAGCTCCATTGCCAGCACCTGGTGCACTGCCGCAAATACACTTACGTAGTTAAACTATTGTCCTGTTCACATGGAGAGTTTAATTTGCAGTAAATTAATGCGAAGTAAACTAATGCGAATTAAATTGCGTTCACATGACAACTGATGCGAAATTAACTAATGCGAATTAAATTTTATTTCTATAGTAGGGCTATTCAATAAGGCTATTATGACATCATTTGCAAATCACGTCATCTTATGCATGACGGATCCATTTGACCTAATGTCATAGCGTCTGTACGCATTTTAGTGATTAACATAATTTTTTATAGTTTTCCACTCAAAAAATAATACAAGTACTTATATCTGACCACCCACATGTGGCATTTGACTTAATTCTGTCATTACGCATGTGTCAGAATTTAATTCGAACAAGCTTCGCTTAGCGTTCACACGGAGCTAATGCGAAGTAATTTAATGCGCAGTAAACTAATTCGAATTAAACTAATTCTTGATAACGCGATTACTTAACTTAATGGAATTCTTTCCTGGGGGCACATTGCTATTGCATACAACGCGAGATCAAGCATTGTGGATTTTTAAAGGGCAGATATGAAAGAAGTCCAGGCCTCAAGACCATTAACTGATAATAGATTTAAGTCAAAATTTTGATTTTGAGTATCTTGAGTTCTACTCAACATATGTGCATAAAAATTTGAAAGTTTTAATAATACAAGAATCCCTACGAATGTTGAAAATTTTGTTTCATTATCAAAATTATTCCAAAAATTATATTGATTTGAAATTTTGACTTAAGTCTGTACTCAGTTTATGGTCTTGGGGCCTGGTGAAATATCTTGCGGAACATTCGCTGAAACACGCTTATAAATTTAAAGAGAACCTAGTCCTTATGTGTTACAATTTTATTCAGTGATACTTTTTCAGCAAGCCGACTCTACTAATTAAATTCAACCATATCTTTCTGATTATCGTTACTTTTGGAAGCTGATAAAAAATTTAAACATTCCAAATTAAACAACCTACTATTTGAAGTTCAAACCTTTGCAATACATAGTCGGCATATTAATTGTTCGAATCATTTGATTGTCACTAGCGTAAGTAATTCATGCCCCGGAAATCTCGCGAGATTTAGAGTTTCCTCGACTTCGCCGCAAAAGAGCGTCATTAAGTTAGATAACTGTGAGATAATCGCGATACAAAGTATTCGCTTAAATTTCTCCATGTGAACGCAATACAAATTTGATTCGCAGAAACTTACGTTTAATTCGAATTAAACTCTTTATGTGAACAGGGCATACAATTTAAAGACAGAATCTATGCATTTTTGAATATCTTTCTTGTGTGTAAGATAGATAATTTATATGTCAAAGTTTTACAAACTGAATCAATATGGCAGTTATAGCGCAATGAATGATAAATGTGTACTCCTAAATAATTTTTTTTTCAGATTCAACATCTTTAATCAATTTGATACATAACAATTTAGTTCAGAGGAATTCATCTTTGATTTTCTATGGTCGGTTTTCATTAGCTTACATTTTGTCTTCGTGATATTCCATGCCATTTGATTTTTGAAAAACCAATTTCAAACTCACACTAATCAAGTTAAATGAAGCCAATACTCTGTTTCAGGTGACAGTTTGGCTTATCACAATGGTATGAGATTCAGCACATATGATCAGAAGAATGACAATGCAGTAGAAGGGAGTTGTGCTATAGAATACCGGGGAGGCTGGTGGTACAACTGGTGTCACAAATCAAATCTGAACGGAGAGTATGCGCTGTCTCCTGTGATTGGTCCAAAATACCCGACATGGCTGTACTGGAAAAATACATTTGAGGCGCTACAGAAGACTGTGATTATGATAAGACACAAAAACTAATGTATAATTAGTCTCGGCATGTTAATAATGAATTTAACATGTTAAAACTCTTTACAAACATCTTTATGTGATTACCTTCTCATTCAGTATCATTAACCATTCAATGTTTTCTTTGTATTTTTCTTAGTTTGAAAATTCATATTTTGTGCCTTAATGATTTTCACATTACAGTTCTAAAAAAAAGAATCTATGTTGACATTGCTATGTGAAATGATTCTCATACATGATATTATGTCTCTTGTTAATAAGGAAAGTTTTTCCCCTCATAACAAATGCAGTGTGTTAACTGTCTCTCTTCTAACTATGTTGGTACGTGTGATGTACCATTTCACGAAGTCCGGTGCACATGGTACTTCTGTCACACTTTTACCTGAAGGAGATGTATATGCATATATATATATATATATATATATATATATATATATATATATATATATATATATATATATATAGAGAGAGAGAGAGAGAGAGAGAGAGAGAGAGAGAGAGAGAGAGAGAGAGAGAGTCTATCTGAATGGCTGATACTGTCTCCTATTTGTGGAGATACCAAGCTAAGACGGCTATGACGAGATCAGTTATATTAGATCTGCGGTTATCTACGTACGCCTTGTCTGATTTTACTGTTAATTATGATGAAAACCTATAGTATCACTGGATATACCGAGTCTGTTGTGACTTGCAATCAATACTTGGTTCAGGTATAACTTGTTATACCAAATCTGTTGTGACGTGTAATCAATATCTGGTTCTGGTATTAATAGTTATGTAGACATTTAGAGGAGAAATACGGAAATATAGCGGTCCTTGAAAAAATCGTTGAGGGTGAGGAGTTAACCTCAAGGACCCCATACATTTCCGTATTACCCCTCAAAGTGTCGACATTACGAAATTATCCCGTCGATATTTTTTTAACAAGCGATGCAAAACATCGCCTGCTGTTTTGATGACCACCAATTGTTATGAAGACCTGGCTCTGGGGCCATGAAACTTAGATGAGCTCACTTTTGATCTCAGTTTCACCTTTTTCAATTCCTTTGGTAAAAGTGATACTGAGATCAAAAATGAGCTCGTCTAAGTTTTATGGCCCAGAAGCCTGTACTTATGGAACACATCATCAGACCTCATAATGATTGAAAAGTCAAAGAGTATCTTTGCCATGATGTCATTGACTGATTACACGATGATTACACGTCACAATGTCCACAGACATGAACTCACTTGAACACTAGTCTTGTGGAACTTTCTTGGCCGTAGAATTAACGAAAAGACCCCTAGTTATAGAAACAGAGAAACTGAAAGATGTTTTGTATGAGGAAATGCGACAGTACCCTACCTCCCCCCTCCCTCCCCCCCCCCCCCAAACCGCCTAAGGCGACGTAAACGGCCCGAGAAGGCGAGAACAAAAGATTTCAAAAAGTCGTTGTGGATAAACACATTATTCAGTAAACGTTTATATAATAAAAAATGTTTAGAATTAATGAATCTTATAAAAATTTGGATTAAGGTTGAGCGTGCTTGTTGCTAGAAACTTTTAGTTACAAAAAATAGAAGTAAAACTTTACATTCCACATTTCTTGTCAAATATTCTGCTCTTTGGAAAATTATTAATCATATCAAATCAGTAAGATAACAGATGATTTTTATTTTATTGTCGTTTACCTGCATAAGAATTACTCGCCAACTACAAAACACCAAAACTCATATACTGGTCCTGGGCTGAATACAAAATTTAAAATCGATATGATGCGGAAAACTTGTTGAGTTAAAGTGTTAGCCTGACGCCGTGTTTTGCGTTAGCTTGTCGGATGTTGTTTCAAGTTGCTTTAGCTTGATGACGTGTGAGGAATTGTTACACTTTTGCAAATGGCTCTATCGGGACACCATAAAAAGGACATATATAAATAACTTTCATTTAAAATGGAAATAAAACACTGCATAGTTCTAAAGTATTACTTACAGTAAAATTGTCAGAGAAATGACAGTTTCTCTACAACTAAGCAGGAGAAAAATAGCAAATATTCAAACAAAATATGTTGTCATTTTCAAGTACCTATATGGGTTATCGATTAAAGATCAAAATTGGAAAGGAACATGTTCATGTTATAGGAGACAAATGGGTATATTTTAAATAAAAATCTGTAGAAAATGGAAAAGGTAAAAGAAAATATTCATGAAATATTATTGAACTAAGTAAGCCTTGAAAAAGCCAAACACGAACTCTGAAGTTTTTATTTTCTGACAAAACTGAAAAATTGCATTCTTTTAGTCTTTAAATGTGGTTTATGAAATAGCATATGAATTGTCAAACGAAGGATAGTTTTAAAAAATTAACAGAGATCAAACTAGATACAAATGATTGATAATCATTTAATACATTCTTCAGAAAACGATGGGATGAAGAAAGTGAAGACTTTCAAAAACCATTCGATACAATCCTGTTGTGGAAGTTTAAGCATAAGGAGTTGCTTTTTTTTCATTTTGGATCCTCAGTTTGATTTTAAAAGAGGATCAAATCTTTTACGAAGGATTACCAAATGGGGTTATTTCAGGCCATTTAAAGCAATGTCCCTAAAGAGACTGAAGGAAAGATAATTCGATTTCACTTGATATCTCCTTTTCCTATGTGCTGATATTCTTGGAATTTAATTTGATACAACCAAAGTGTATAATAATTGAGGGATAAGGGTACAAACTTTGACAATATGGCGATGATACCTCTCATTCGCAGATGGATCTATTACCAAGGAAAAAAATCATTTTGAAAAACTTTTACGTAAAATCAAACTCCAAAAAATTGTCAATGTTTTTTTCTGCCAATATACGCTAGAAATAAATAAGAATAAAACATAAAATACATTTTAAGGGGGACCGACCCTCTGATAAGAGAGATAACTTTCCAAGTAAAATATCCTAGTATTACTCATAGTTTACTTTATCAGAGTTTAATTATCGGGACCTTTGAGCAGTCAATTCGATCAAACTAAACATATGATGGAAACATTACCTCATATTTCCTTTGACTGTACTTTTCAAATTGTTTTATTATGTTTGACAAAAAAACATTTAAATCCAGTTTTAAAACCCTTAAAAATTGAATAAGTTCTATCTGTTTAACGATCATTTTAAAAATGGTTTAATGTATCAAGCACCAAATGTAGAATTTTTATTAGTATTACATTTTTTTCCCACTGAAAAAATATTTATAAGAAAGATAACTCTTGCTAACAGATGTATTGTTTTCTTACAACTACATATAACATTGTGATATTCTGACTTAGGAAGCAGCGCTTCATTATGATTTCTAATATGAATTTAGTAGGTATGACACTAAATATTATTTTCATATACACCGCATATTTCTAATTTTATGTTGTGATAATAAATTATTACTCTTCCTAATCTCTGTGTTAAAATTTCTTCATATTATGATCTGACATAAAAATCATTTCTGAAAAAATAAGCAGCGCTTCATACCTCATACTATTTTTCATTTGATTTTGATGCTATAGCTCTTGACGAAAATCAATGTTGGGAAGTTTAAAAAAATTTCGTGAAATTTGGAGCAGAGGGTCATTAGTCCTTAAATGATAAAGGTAAACTAAAAGTGTCTCAAGTATTTTGGGAAAACGCATTAGTAATGTTTTCAAGTACATGTAATATTTATCTAAAATAACTGTACATCTTGCATTGTAAAGGTTCAACAGAGTTTTGGTTTTAAATTGGCCGCATTTGCACCTTTTAAAGTGAATGCATATATCAAGGACGGGTATTAATTAGATAAAAAATGAGCTGTCAGTCATTTGTCACTGGTCAGATCATACAAGGTCGTCTCAACAGGAGTCACAGAAAACTTAAAATTATAGCATCGTGACGTGCTTAAGACTCACATGAGAATTCTTAACACATAAACGTGGTAGATTGGTAATGCTCGCCAATTCTAGACAACTTGCAAAATATTTATAATAAAACAACTGGATAATCTCCCAAAGAGAAACCTACAAATACTTTCATAAATTGAGAAGCATTAAATTTCTACATAAATTCCTTTTTCAGGCAAATGCAATAACTGCCATGTATAAATAAAAAATTCAGATTAAAGACTTTGGAAAGATACATCATTCCCGTTATATTTTGTACTTAGTTTAAAATTTTTCTTTTATATATGAATATAAATACTTAACATCAAATTAAACGTTTCTTCTGCCTTTTTTCTTTTTTCTTTTTTTTTTTTGACAAAGGTGGAAAACGAACTTTATATCTTTCTTGAAAAGTGCATTATTATTATGAAAGCAAGACCAACGTTTTGAATTTACCACATTTAAATTAAAACGATAATAAAACGTACTGAACAATCGATGAACACATCACATGAGACCTCATCAATCATTAATTAGATATTTATTAGACATACTTAAAGATAGACATATACACCAAAGAAGTTTAAAAAACCAGAACAGTTGATTATTTGATGAGTACCCATGACAAAAAATTTTGATCGCTCTGTCATTTAAAAAGGGAAAAAACTATTGCAATGTTATCTGCAACAGTTTCTAATGTGATCACTTTGTACCTCATTGGCCAAGTCCTGTTTCTGTTACGGACATGCTACTCTCAGTGCTTCGACCCAAAAACTTTGATAATAAGCAGTTATGAAAATTCCTCAGTGCCTGGTTTTAACCTTTTGACCAATGCTGACATGGGAATGTGCATGATGGTTTGTTACAAGTTTACGTTATGTCGGTCAGTAGATTGGATACGAGAAGAAAAGACATGTCGTCTTAACACAAGATTTCCTATCAAGAATGTCAGTCCTCTAATGACAGAGGACAGCATCATTCATGTTGACCGGAAAAATTTTCCACAGGTAAGACATAAATCTTGTAAAATTTTAGTAAAAATGAATTGAATTACATATGAATTGAATCACGACTTTATTATGTTATATTTTCAGCATCTTGTGGGTGATTGTCTAAACTATTCATGTACCGAGGATGCCATCTGTATTCGTGGAAACTGTTTACCTGTTTTAGCAGGTAAAACAATTATTTTCTACATATTTCTGCACGTAGTGATTCTAAAATTCGGTAGGATAAATTTCAATTGTTGTTGAAGTTCTCATCTTCAATTAAACGACTTTTTTTTCTCTACGATCCTTTTCCTATTTTACAATAAAATATGGAGATAATGAACAATAATTAAGCTCAAAAGTCCTTTGGAATAGTGTAATCAAGCTCAAAAGTCCATTGAAGCAATACAAATTGGGAGCCGAGCAAACACGGACCTCAAATTATCAGATTTGGGTTTAGGTGCCATGGAGGAGTATGCTTCTATTGTACTTTGTTTACTTAATTCAAATATGTTCGTTATGAAATATGCAGATAACGAGCAATTATCAAGCTCAAATATCCATTGAAACAATAAAAAATTTGATGCAAAGCACACTCGGATCACTAAGAAAAACATCAAAGATGCCATGCAAGTTTAAGAATCCCCTGTCGACCGGTCACACCCGCCCGCGTGTTCCTTGTCATAATCGGGAAAACTGAAAAAAATCATAGACAATTCAGTGAAAATAATGGTGCAACAATTTGTATGAAAAATGTCTGTCAACATTCGACTTAATGATAGTTTGTATTTGCTGACAAGGTTATTATATCGACCGAAGAATGTGCGAAATGTTGACTGAACGAGACTTTGATATCACGAAGTTGATAAGAAATCAACAGATAAAACATTTTGCAGCTTGCAATGCACTAATACAATAGTCATTTAAGTAGAATTACTAATAATTATATTTATTTAAAAATTACATAGAAAAAATATACAAAGACTGCTCGGAGATTTTGAAAAGAAACTCCAGCAGGAAAGGCCAAGATGGCATATATATTATTTATGCCGACACCCGAAGAGAGGTCTTCTGTGACATGACGACAGATGGAGGTGGTTGGACGGTGAGTGTTTTTTTTTTAATTTATTAAGGAATACCCTGTACTCCAATGTTTATATTTGTTTTCATTTATCAATATTTAAATTCTGTGGAAATTGCTGTTAGCAATGTTCATCATAAAAACAAAATAGTTTTAAACGATCTTATTACATCTATTGCTAATTGTGACATGCAACATGTCTGGTTTAACAGTACCTTAACTAAGGTCGTGTTAAATGTCTTGCTGGAACACCGCTTTTGAAAACCACCAGCAAACTTGAAGATGAGACAATCTATAAAACATCTAGGTGAAATATATGGAGATAACGAACAGTATTCAAGCTCAAAAGTCCATTATACAATACAAAATAGGAGCAGAGCAAACACGGACCTCCAAACATCAGAGGTGGGATCAGGTGCCATGGAGGAGTGAGCATCCCCTGCCGACCGGTCACACCCGCCGTGTGCTCCTTGTCATGATCGGGAAATAACGGAAAAATCCGTCGACAATTCAGTGTGTAAATAATGGCCTAACAATTAGTATGAAAAACGTCAGTCAGCATTTGACTCAATGATAAATTGTATTTGCTGACAAGGTCATTGTATCGACCATAGAACTTACGAAATGATGACTTTAAACGAGACAGCTAGGTGAAAGCCTTCAGTTTAATTCGTCTGCTATTTGGTATTTTTCTGTGCTCACGGGCAAAGAACAAAAAAAACATACTTACGATAAGCTTTTTGGACCTTGTTCAAATTGTCAATAAAATATTTAAATGTTCAAAATTATAAGACTCAAACATATTCCTATACCCTTTATATCATCAAATAGTTCTCAAACTCAGAAAATTATCCTAGTCTGTCAAGATGACCCAGGAGAGAGCAATCTAGTGGATAATATTTTTTTCATATCTATGATAAGACACTTTATACTAAGTCAGTGAATATTGTTTATAGGTAATTCAGAAACGAGAAGATGGCGATGTTGATTTTTTCAGGACATGGAAAGAATATAAACACGGATTTGGGAATGCCTCTAAAAACTACTGGATAGGTATTCCTGTGTATTCCTTTTTTCTTGTTAACTTTCAATTTTCAATCAAAAACATTGTATATACAGGGATTAGATACAGGACAATGAAATGAAATATACTCTTTAAATCTTTTTTAACACATTACCTAGCAGCTGGTTTGAAATCTTTCAGTCAAAGGTCGACCAGATAATAGTTTTTGTTTGCAATCAAGGTCATTATAATGCTAAATACCTACTTTAAAGTAAACTGTTGAAACCCACTGTATTATAAAGTTTTTTTTTGTCAGTAGCATGCCTAGGTTTAAAATTTGAATGCACATGAAGCCTTTGCGAACTAAATCGGTTAAGAGACATTGAGACCGTCTGCAGGTTATTATGGAATATCGTTACATAGATATGAGAAGTCTGAGGATTGAAAATCTAAAATCCTTTCTTTCGTCATTAGTATGCCATTAAAGCCTATCTTCAGTAAACATCTAAATGTATATGAACAGACGTGGTAGATTCTGTAATTTTTTTTATTCTGAGTTCACTTGAAATGAATAATGAAATATAGCATTCTAGTTCCTGCTTACGATAGGAACAGATAAAATTTATCATCAATTAATCATCAGCTCTGTGTCTTCATTCCCTTTAATGTTTTCACAATTATATATATATAAGTCTGTTGTAACTGGAAACCAACTAAAATATTCTATTTCTGATGTAAATGTAAGTTTTCACTTTTAAAGAAAAAAGAAGTATCTTGCAAAATGATATTTCTATTGTTATCATCAAATTTCAATACAATTTAGTAAACGAGAAACTTCTGTGCGTGGATTAAGGATTTCCACAAAGTGGTTGCAAATGTTACCAAAAATAAAAGATGGTTATAAATTCTTCCCCCAAGCTGCTGCTATAATTTCAACTTTAATTCAATTTAATTTTAAAGAAACCCAGATACACAAATACAGTACCACGAAAAACTTTAAAATCTACGAGATCCTTTAAAGATGCTAATCATCCAATTGACAATTTTGTATATGTATTTATATATTGAATATCCAAACAATTAAGGAAATGATGCAATCCATGCTTTAACAAGGGATCAAAATCAAGAGCTCCGAGTAGACCTAAGGAGATTTAACGGAGAACAGGCTTATGCGGAATATGCCATCTTTTACATCGGAGATGAAAACGATAAATACTATATAACAGTATCTGGATACAGCGGGACAGCGAGTGAGTAGTGCATGATCAAGATATAAATTGTGTATTAGAGAGGATACTTTTAAAAAGAATATGTATTGTTTATGATAAATCTCTACTAAGTTTATCATAAGCTTGGGATAGTACTAAAATCCTTTTAAGTTCAGATAACATACTGGATTTAGTTTAAAAGCAAAGTATTTTATTATAGTAAAAGTCCTACAGGGCTCCAAGTAAAATGAGCCAAGTTAAGTTTTCTTATTATCCTGATTATTGGAAACTTCAACACAATTGTATACTTCACATTATATTTGACTTCGCACATTTTCTGCCATTTTACCAACGAAAATCAATTACTGTATACAGGGTTATTTTCGCCCCGTGCTAATTTCATCCTTTCACACTTTCAAACAATTTTGTTCTGTTTTAAATTCGCATAGACATAGTTGTCCTTAACAGATATTGTTCCGCCTTTAAAAATGTGTTCCTTTATAAATCTATACTAAAAAAGTCTAACATTTTCAATGTTTTATAGAGCAGTCATAAAAAAATCGATGTTTGACTGAAGATTGAGATATTGGATCTGTCGATGAGATATTGGACCGCTTCCGTCACACAATGGGCGGGATCAGCTAAATCTCATTTGCATTCGGTGATATCCACAAGACCGGAATTGACCGAGTTTAACAACAGTGCGTGCTGGTAAATAAAATTTACATCACGGAAGCCAGCACAAGATATATGTATGTTAAAAAAAATAAAAGGTATAACAAAACATTTATTGACTGTATTCTCGGGCAAAATGCGTTTTATCGACCACTCGAACCAAACTGTTTGCTTGAGGCCTAACAGCCTCAGGCAAACAATTTGGTTCTTGGGTCCGACAAAACGCATGTTGCCCTCGAACCCAGTCAATAAATGTATAAGACTGTCTTTCAGGAATTCGCCCAGTTTTAAATTTGCTCACTTCTGACTAAGGCAAAGAGAGGAAAATAAAAGGAGGGCAAAAATTTTCCCTGTTTATAGTAGATGTCATTAAAACCCTATTACAGGTGACAGGATGACTCAATTTTTCGATGCTTTTCGATGCAGACCAAGGGCACTATCAGATTTGATAACTGAGTTACAATTATTCATTTTTTAAAAAAAATTTTATGCATTAAACTTTAATGTAAGCAATACTCTTTTAAAGGTGACAGTTTGGCTTATCACAGTGGTATGAGATTCAGCACAAAAGATCAGGATAATGACACAAGTGAAGATGATGAAAACTGTGCTGAAGTATATCGAGGAGCCTGGTGGTACGGCTGGTGCCTCAGATCAAACCTGAACGGCCAGTATTCACAGTCTCCTGTTCATGGTCCTCAGTACCCGGTATGGCTGTACTGGAAAAATAGCTTTGAAGCGCTGAAGAAGACTGTAATGATGATAAGACACAAAAACTAAAGTAAAATCAGCCCTGATATGTTTATAATGAATTTAATATATTAGTTTTTTTTTAAAGTGGTAGTGTCCGATCTCAATTACTTCTCACACAGTATCAAAATTCATACCATGATTTATCTGATTTTTTTTAAAGTAATTAAAGTTATACCTGTTCCTGAAACTAGACTGATACATGTAGAGTGTAATTAATCTTGACACATTCTTAATGATTTTTATATTTTAGTTTTTAAGGTATTCCAATCTTAGGTTCTTAAAATAAGCAGTTAAGTTATTGATACTGCTTACAAAAATGTCTCTAAATTCACAAAGTAATGTACATTTACCCATGGTATTTCTTCAAAGTTCATCGTTAAAGTGAATCATATTATTGAGGGAATATTATTTGATTTCAGATATATTTTCGGGAAATGCAAATAAAAGCACCAGTTATGCATTTTCTGATCAGTAAATATATTTAAAGATAAAAAACTGTAGAAATCCAGGGATTAGGAGAAAATTGAATGTTTTTCATAGTTATACAGTGTTTTAGTTATTCTAATTACTTTAATTATTATATAATACATAATGCAAAAAGCTTGTTCTACCATAACCAGACATCACAGATCACATGTGATATCATCTCATGCTAATAAGCGTTAGCGTCTACATGTATAAGTTTAGTTTACAGGAAATTAAATTTCTCTAAAAATGTTTTTTTTTTTTGGTTCTTTCGAGGGGTAAAAATGTAAACTTTTTACAATAGTTTTTTAAGACTTCAAAGAACCTTGAATCATATTGACATGCATGAAATGAAAATTGTTGCAAGAAAAGATTTCAATTTCAAGCTTCCTTTTGATAATTTTTAATCAAATAATGATTTTAAGAGTTATCCTCCCTGACCGAGGAGTGGATATCCTTGAAAGAAAAGTAATTTATCACTATGTGATATATTTTTCAGATAATATTTTAAAAATCATATCTCTTGTAAATATTTAAGGAATTACTTTCCAGTTAGTTGGCTATGCCAGGTCATCAACAATAGTTGAAAAGCGTAATATATAATTATGATTAATTATTTAAAATTAAAAAAAAAAAAAAAAAAAAAAACAACTAGTCAGCGAATTCCTTATATTCACATTAATATATGAAATAAAATAATAAATATAAATTAAAAATGTATGGGTCGATAACTGCATTAGATGATAAAATCAGAGTGTTTAACTGAATCTTGTATAATTCGTTATAAGGAGTCTGATGTGACATGATTAATGCGCAGTCTGGTACTATTAACATATGCAGAGTCTGATATGACTGGTTGTCAATACCCAGACTGGAATTTTTGACGCACGAGTACCGAGTCTGCTGAGAACTGATAAAAAAGGTTTTTTTTAAAAAAAACGAACAGTGATCATTCTCATAAATCCTTTAAGCAACGAGAATCGTGGACAGGACAGAGCTCTTGTTAATGATTTAAAAAAACCCGGAAAAATCAATGTTCAAACCCGAGATGATAAATATAAAAAATTGGTTTTGATATCTCGAAGGACTAGCCTTTCACGCTGTCCAGTGTTCAAATAGATTTAGAAATCCAAAATGGAAAAGAAGTGATACAAGATCGCAGTTGAACTGGTCGATCAAACTCTGTTGGGACACCATACCAAAATGTGTCGATGTCTTGAGCAACATGATATCTGTAAATACTAGATTTACACTGAAAGACATTGCAAAGACATTAAAAAATTCATTGCCACAGTTTTTAGAGATCTGACAAACGAAATATGAATCTTAAAATATTTCTATATCATATGGGTGCCTTATTTCCTTACAGAAAAAAACATTCGTTAAGTGTGCAAATGGTCTATTGAAAAATAAACATTATAACAAAAAGATATGAAAAACTTGGGTGAAGGCTGTCAAAATAATGGTGAATATTTTACAACCAGGAGAACAATATTAATAAAAAAGTGGAATTAAAGAGAAAGCTGTCGTTTTATTATTGCAAAGTGAAGCCAGAGCTACAATATGGCTTATACAGGTTTCCTCTTTAGTCAAGAGGTCCGGTAGTTATAATTGCATTGAGGAAAGTTCAGCTGTGAGGGGTGTCCAAATACCGGTTCACGGGGTTATTTTCTTGTGTCTGACAAGTCTGCTGCAAATAATCATAGAGATGTACAGGAAATTTTGGGAAAAGGAGCATTTACAGAGCTTAGCCATCTTCCATATTCGCTAGATCTCATTGTGAAATCTTTTTATTCTAAAATCTAAAGAAAACAATCAAAGGAAGACTTTAAATTTTAGTTTCTGATGGAGAGTGCTATTCATCAGTGTCTTTCGAGCATCTCTAAAAAGGAGTATGACGAGGTGTTCTGATCATGGGTACAACGACTTAAGACATGTGAAGAGGTTAACAGGGAATACTTTGAGGGATTAAAAATATAAAGAAATGATTCTTGTGCTTGTCTTATTTTAAGATCACATTTTGCATCACTTATTTAACGACCCTCGTACGTAGTGAAACAACTATTTCATTTTTTTCCTGATTTTGCATTATTGGGATCTGTTTAGTTCATTTCTATGACATCTTCTAATTGTTGATATCGTCATTTTAATGTAAATAAATGACACAACTTCGATTCAAACAATCTATTTTGTTTAGTGGTATCAAACAGAGAAAAACTATTTTCAGTAGATCTACATAGATAAACTTGAAATATGAATTTATTTTCAAACTGAACATACTGAAATGATTTCTTTAATTTCTTGATTGTTTGTTTGTTTGTATGTTGTTTGACGTCCCTCTCGAGAATTTTTCACTCATATATAGACGCCACCACTTGCCGGTGGAGAGCTGCAAATTTTATCCTATACTCGGCACTTATGGCCATTGAGCAGTGAGGGATCTTTTTCGTGCCAGCACCTACTGCTCGGTTTATATGGTCTCATCCGAGGGACCGGTCTCCACGTTCCACAGTGGGATTCGAACCCGCGACGAAAGGATCAACTCCTTACTTCGCGACTCTAGAGCATACGCTCAACCACTGCGCCACGCGGGCGAATTCTATGGATTGTATCAATTTTCTCGGCATTTCCTTACTTATGAGTGATATGCTAAGACACTTAATATACCTATGTGATTACAGTATACGAGGGTTGTCCATAAAGTTCGTAAACAATGATGTTTTTGTCAAAAGTTAATGGTCCTGAATCTACTTATTGTATATCAAGATTGCCATTTTGAACAAACAAATCGATAATTTTTCAGGTTCCATTCCGGTTTGCTTTTGGAAAAGTTCTTTTCTTATCAATGAAATACATGTTATTTAAATTCAACACTATCAAACGTTATATGTGAGAGATCTAGAAAACACTAGACTGAAGCTAGCAGCCAATAACAGCAGCCATTAAGCCCGTAGAAGCTAGCAGCCACTAAGGAAATTCATCAAAGGACTGAGAGTACTCTGACGCAATACTGTTTAATGCCTCATTTTCGACAATTTATAATTAATAATTAGATAATTAATGCAACACTTAATTATTAATTAATAATTCAAACACTTGGAGGCAGTTAAGCTCACCTGCATAAGGAAAATTATGCGGTTTCACAACAAACAAACAAACAAACAAAAAGAAGAAAATGTCACCATCTTTGACCGCTTAAGAATAAAACAGCATTGGATAGGTTAAGTACTTCCGGGAGAATCCCTTTTAGGCTCTTTTACGGGTCTCAGGAACATGATGGTGCCAAAAGGCTAACCTGAAATTTGCTTACTCCTAATATTTACATTGATAAGGGTTTGAAGGTAATTTAATCTATTTTAAGTTATGATCCTTGAAGTGTGCTTCGAACAATTACTGGCTCAAGGTATAAGGGTCCACAGGGCTATTATATACGGCCATAGAATTTAGGCTGAAGTGGTACCACCAAGTGGTGCCAAGGGCGGGTTACGTATTTCAAGCAGCTATTATACCTCTTATCTTATAAGTGTGCTTTAAATCATTACTGTGCAAGATAGAAGATTTCTAGGACTATCTTTCCCGCAATCGGTTTGAGGCTGTAACGGCACCACCAAGTGGTGCCAACGGTGGGGAACATCTTTCATGCTTTCATTTTTCAACCATTATTGACCACTAGAACAAACTAACACTAAATTGGAAAAAAGTTAAGGGCCTTAGGGAGTATCCTTTGTCAACTTTTTGACAGGTTCCAATGACTAGAAAAGGCCAGTTAGGTAATCTGAACTTTGTTGTTTTTCACATTGTCTATTGATATACGGATTAAAAGTCAGATGTTATACCCCTTATCTTTGAAGTGTGCTTCAAATCATTACTGGGACAAGGTAGAGGGCCCCTAGGACTATCATTTCCCGCTATCAGAATGTTGCTGTAGTGGTACCACCAAGTGGTGCCATGAGTGGGGCACGTATTTCAAGCATTCATTTTGAAAGCATCTTTGGCTACTAGAACAAAGTAACACTAGTGAAAGGTTGAGGACCTTAGGGAGAACAGTTTGCCAGGTTTCTGAAGGGTCCTGAAAAAGAAAAAGGGCCAGTAAGCTAACCTGAACTTTGTTGTTTTTCATTTGTTTTTTAATATACGGGTTAAAGGTCAGCTATTATACCCCTTATCTTTGAAGTGTGCTTCAAATCATTACTCGGACAAGGTAGAGGGCCCTTAGGACTATCATTTCCCGCTATCAGAATGTTGCTGTAGTGGTACCACCAAGTGGTGCCATGAGTGGGGGACGTATTTCAAGCATTCATTTTGAAAGCATCTTTGGTTACTAGAACAAAGTAACACTAGTGAAAGGTTAAGGACCTCAAGGAGAATCATTTTCCAAGTTTTTGAAGGGTCCCGGGGAAGTTAAGAGGCCAGTAAGCTAACCCGAACTTTGTTGTTTTTCACATTGTGTTTTAATATACGGGTTAAAGGTCAGCTATTATACCCCCTTAATGTTGAAGTGTGCTTCAAATTATTACTGGGACAAGGTAGAGGGCCCCTAGGACTATCATTTCCCGCTATCA